AGTTGGAACGGCGACAAGAGAGAGGCGTGAGAGAAAACGCTGTTGGCAGGGCTGGCCGCGGCCCGCGAGCAACTTTCTTCGTGCGTGTCCAGCGGTTGTCATCGCGCCAGTGGCCGCACCGCCCGCCCGCCGCCCATCGCCCGCGCATCGCCCCGTCCCAATTCATCGCCCCGCGCGGGCCGCCCGGCTCATGCAACAGCAGCGCCGCGCTCTCGGTCGCCACGGCTGACAATGAGCCAAGATTCCGCGTTCCTTGTCGCTGTGTCACTCGCACGCGGGCTGGATAGGACGGTTCCTCGCCATGGCGATGGAAAGCGACGTTGATAGGGGGCGATTAGAATGAAACAATGATACGTATGTGTTGCCGGACTAGGCGCGATCTATTGCTAATCTATCTCGCTGGCTTGCTTTCGCAGCTCTGGCGGGCAAGCCTTATCCGCCGATGAAATATATATATATATATATGTGTGTGTGTGTGTGTGTGTGTGTGTGTGTGTGTGTGTGTGTGTAGGTGCATGTCAAGGACCGGAGCAATCGGTACCGCTCTTGCTCTGCTCTTCTCGGCGTATTCACTGGTGCGTGCTCTGTGCGCAGTTTGCTGGTAGTTTCGGTGTGTTATGCTCGTGAGAAACATTACGTCCACTTTCAGGGAAGAAAAAATAAATTAATTCAGAATTCTAAATAATTCTAATAACAAAAATCATTTTAAATCCACTTTTTAAAAATGACATCATTCCCGTTCTCTCGCAGTTTCAATTGAACTGTGCTGAGGTTTGTCATGTTCCTTGAGCGATCGATTTTAATTCAGTTTTCGTCGTGGAACGGGCAATACATTTATATACTTGTCACTGAGTAATTCCCTTAATTGAAAGTGAAATAAATAATGATTTTAAGACACTTAATAGAAATACTTAAGCCATAAACTGTGTCGAGAAATCAGGTGTCGCCTTTAGCAGTCGTTATCCGTTGTTGCATTTTCGTCCACCAATACGGAGGGTGCACGCCGATAACAGGCGTAATATCGGTATCGTTCGTTCTCGAACCGGAAGTGCCAGAACTAGCATTCTCGGATATAGCGGTGTCGGCGCGCTGGTCTCAAGGAGAACGACCGGAACCGAGTATCTTTGTGTCGTGCTCTAGTCGTATGTCACGTCCTTCCGCTTCTGTGGCACCCGATGGATATGGCGAAGTCGTGTTTGGATTCAAAGCGATGGATTTTTTTGAATTGTTTTGTCATCGAAATACAGGAAGCTGTTTTATCCTGAATAAATTCTGTCTAATTAATTCTGTCTAGATAAATTTCCACTTTTTAATGAAAATCAATATTCATCCCATATTTTTACGAGACGATGGGTACAAGCAATTGACTCCATAATTATTTTTAAAATGTGTGAAATACTTGTATGGAATGATTGGATACACGTATGTTTTCTAACAATTCATAATCCATAAAAGAAGTACAACATAAATTTCAACAAGTCACAAAAATAATAACGTTGCGTAATATTGTTTTTTGTTTTCAAATAATGTTAATAAAGGTTTGGAATTTTTTACATCTAATCATGAACACAAAACATCCACAGTTCTTTTTCTAATTACTTCTCGGACAAGTGCTTATAAATTACAAAAAAGTCGTGTATCGAAAATTAACGTATTATGCACTTACTTAACAATATTTCGTGCGTGCTAGTTCTGAGAAAATTGTCTTTTAACGCACTTGATTTTCAACTAAGCATTTGTTGAGTACCTCTCGATTTAGTTTTAAAAAATATCTTCTCTTACATTAGAAACGTTATTAAATCTAGATATCACCACATAAGAAGCTTGACAACATCGATTTTACTTCTAAAAAATTGGTTAGCACATCTACGAGTTTACATAATAATTGCACCCCTTCATTTACTACAGCAATGCTTCTTGCATCGGCTTCTTGTGCAACTGTCCATTGTTTTGCGCTGGAGTTCTCCAGGCGCATTGCGAAAGAATTCTAATTACGAACCAAATTTGAGGTTCTTGCATAATAGTTTTGGGAAGCAAAACAAACTGTGCCACTTTTCATTTTCTCTTTGTAATGGCATCAATGCAATAACGTCGCACTCCATTTCTAGACACTGCAAGCAAATAAAGGTTTTAAAAAGGTGAACGATACCCTTGTAGATTCGAACAGCACTGTCATTCTCAGCGGTTTTATCCTTTGTGAAACAGTGATCCCATACATTTTTGGGAAGATTATTATCCGTTTCCAGCAAACTGAACGCGTTTACGCATGTGGTCATTTTAATTCAAATTCTAGTCTACCTTTTTTATGAGATTTGACTAAAAAATTAAAATGAGAATTGGCATGGACATTTATCCAAGATATTGTCAGGGTGACTACACATACCGTAAAGTGCCATAGCCTCTTCGATCGTCAGGTCTTCACCAATCCAACCAGGGTATGACTGGTTCAGTGGAGGAGTGAGCCGGAATTCGTAAATTCAGCTTTCCAAGAATCGTTAAGGATGAATGGACTTAAAGTCGTTAAGAATGAATGGAAAGAAATCAATATGCATCTTAGTTTCTATCAATAATGTAGGTGACGCCAGGTAATGAGATTTGTTCACAAACATTAGAATTAACAATGATATGTCAAAATTCGTTATGAAATACTAGAGAAGGCTTTAAAATTATTGTTAAGTATGATACATGTTTCATGTGCCCCAGTAAATGTTTCATGTCCGTCAGGGAATTACTAAATTTAATGCTCAGAGCGTAATGAACAACAGATTGCATGATTCAGAATCAAAGAAAGGTTTTTTAAAGTAATTTCATCACTTTGATTGGATTTACGTAGATCAGCATTGCATAGAAATATACGTACAGTAGAACCTCGCTAATCGAAAGCCCGCATATTCGAAATTGCGGATATTCCGAACAAAATTCGAGACGGGTGAAAAATAAAATGCTTATTTGTAGAGTAAAGAAAGGATTTTATAATTACTGTAAAACAACTAATTATTGAATCACAAGTTGTTTAGAACTTTTATTACACTGATAACTACGGTGGTCATCACATATTTATGTAGCAGTCATTTCCACTTACAGTTAAAGGAACTTGCAAAATCGGTTATCTTCTTTTGCCGCAAGAACCTGAATCGCATGATGATGCGATGTGATGATGAGATGATGCGATCGCTGTGCTACGTTGCCATTTTCTCGGAACGAACGCAACGTTGCATTGTCCCGTAATTCTATTGATGTATTATTACATGAACAGTACATTTGTTCGGATAATTCAAACACTTCCGAATCCGAACAGAAAATACCCCAATTAGTTCGGATTACCGGAGTTCTACTGTACTCGTATGTAGAGTTTTCTTAGTTTACTTTCCAATACTTCTACTTAAAATATCTTAAAACTGAACAGGTTGAGAAATTCTAATGAGAAGCCTCTATAAAAAATGTAGGTCAGAGAATTTGATGAGAATAATGTAAAATGGAAATAGGTTTTTGATTCTAGTTATGTGATAAGAATTTTTGCAGAGTTAAGGTGGAGATGAGGTGCGGTATCAAAGGCAAGGTGTGATTGAAATGAGTGGATATGTTATTTCGTGTCCAATGGATTCTAACTGAAAATTTTTGGAGTTGGGTATTTGTGATATATCAGGGGGCGTTAAACGACGCGTAGGAAAGAAAAAAAACTATCAAACCATAAACCACAATTTTGCAGAATAGCATGCGAAAAAAGAGAGATGGCAAGTTTTGGGACCATAGAACCAGATCAGAAATTCGTAACATATTTGAATTTAATATACCTTTAAAATGTCTTTCTAATAATTACATATTTCCTCCTGCTCCACCTCCTATCTTTTCAATCATTTTTTTTTTCTCCTTGTTAAGCTATGTAACTAGTGCCAAAGCTCCAGCTATGTAACTAGTGCCAATTTCCATTATTCATAATTTGGTGTTTCGTTTCCTATTTATACCACTTAATTATTACTATATTTGGTGGAGTGACAGATCGAGTGTGTGATGATATACCTCTCGAAGAATATTCGGAGTGATAACAAAGACGGGCCGGGACGGGAAGATCTCCTGAAAAGAAAATAATGTTAAAATAAATTATGCTGATTTAACAAAAATATAATAATGGAATGAGAGCCAGCTAAGGAAGAATTGCTTTATGCTATATGCTTCCACATAATTGTACCGAACGTTTTAACGACGGATGTCTAGCAAATTGTCCACCGATATGCGGGTCATCTTTCTTTCCTAAGCAGATAAATAGTCTGTAATAACAGGTCTTTATATGTTCAGTTGCTCTGCAGCGATATGGACTGGGAAGTCCTAGGGTTCTGGTGTCCAACGATGGCGGATCTTTGCCACTAGCTACAACACTAACTTTTATAGAGCCAGGTCGATATTAAGCTGTTGTCTAGATGTGAATTCTAGCGGCCGGCTGCCAGGTCAATACCGAAGCAGTACCCTAAGACCATGAAACGCGAGCGATTTCTTTCCTCATTCTTGTCCCTTCCTCTCCCTCTACAGATATTCGCTTACACTTCCATGCACTCAAACACGTATCGGGAGACCAGTCGGGAACTTAGAGCTTGTGGTCCCCCGCTGGGGGACCGCTCAAGACTGTGTAGGTCGGCGCCGGATCTCACATTTAAGTGGGAAGGAACACTACTACCCCCTGGATTATTCCATGCTCTAGACTTACGGTACTAATGACCATAGCAGTAGACGCGATATACTGCATACTCACTCGCTTCGCAGAGAGAAAGGACAACTTATAATTGGAGGATGAGTCGGTCTTTTGAAAGAAGTGGGAGTGGTGGGCGCCGGCGAGCAAGCCCTGTGCTGCAGCGTGCTAAGGGCGCGTGCGCGCGGTGTGTGTCCGCAGGGCAGGTCTGCAGCTGCGGTGAGCCGGTGGCATGGCGGCCGGATGGAGCGTGAGTGCGGGCAGCGGCGAGGCGTGGGCGGGCGTGGCGCTGGCGGCGTGCGCGGCGGCGGCGGCGCTGGCGGCGTTGGCGCTGCTGTGCGCGGGCTGGCTCAAGGCGGTGCGGCTGGCGCGCGCGCTGCCGGGCCCGCCCACGGTGCCTCTGCTGGGCAACGCGCTCACCATCACCAACCACGAAGGTCAGTCCGTTCGCCTGTCGTCTTCACTCCGTTGGCTTGGACGTAGATGTTTACGATAGCCCGGGGTCGTAAATTTCACCTGTTGGTAGTAATCAGATTCAAACATTCCTGTTTTTCCTTCCACACAAATAACTACAGTGCCTCAGAAAACTGATCACCAACTCTATATGTTTACAGAAATAATACAATATTACAATTTCCTACATGATTATTTACTATGAACTTCATCATATTTTGAAACACTTTCTGGTTTTGTTATATCGCTTTTTTTTACGAATTTTAATCTAAATACACAAATGAAGGCTGGTCCATGGGGATTGTTCAGTGGAAAAAAACGAGCTTTATAATTGTTTGTTGACGTTTTGGAAAATATACTTCCAACATCAGGGGTGTAGTGTACAGAAACAAAAACAATAAGGTGTTAATTAAACACGCCTGTTGTTTCTTTAACAATTACTGTAGATATCAAAACAATTACAAGCCGAAAGGAAATAATTCAATAGCACAACACATTATAACGACAAAAAGCAACAAACAACAGAAGCTATTTAATCCTGTATGTGGTTAACCTCACGTGATGTTCAGCACATTTGCAAGCACCACACCACCACACAACGTGTTTGCTATTTGTACAGTGTAAGGAGGAGAAAAAAGTCGTCCATTATTTACTCTGTGAGGGAAACCAGCGTACTTCAGGTAACAAACAGTATTTTGAAGAAGCGAAAACCAATAGTGCTAACAAATGTTCAATTCAGGTGAAATATAAATAATTTATGAAATTTTGCAATTTTAGACATTGTTACTCTACACAAACAAGAATATAATAAACTGTATTCTTTAGAACCTAGTTCAGAAAACCGGATGTAAAATCCTTGTGAAAATTAAAACAAAATATTTACAGCCTAAGATATTCCCTAAGCCTATTATAAACTAAATACACCAAATTATTAACATAGAACATTTTCTGCATTTCAGTATTTTTGTATATATTTTTTGTGTATGTCATTGAAAATGAGCAAAACGTTACGTATTGACGTCATTAGTGCGTGAAAATATAGTGGGGTGTTCTAAAAAATAAACGTTGCAATAAACTGTAATATTGTTTTATTTCCGACTACATATCACACTAAAGATCAATTTAGTGAGTCACTGCACTATTGATTCAAGATCACACTGCTTTTGCTAAGTGTACAATTGCTGCCATCCTCCTGAAAAATTCTAAATCTGGTCGTGCTCCTGAAAAAGTGCTGGCCTGCTCAAATGCTGTCGTTCTCCTGGAAGATTCTTAATCTAGAAAATATTAAAAATAAAAGGAATGAACGCCTTCCTTAATCACTATCATTTACGTTTAAAATCTCCAACCAAGGACAACCAGCTACAGTTTCTACTACAATTAGGCGATGTTCATCAAGATTTCAAAACTTTGTGTCCGGAGCTTCGAAACTACCTGAAAAAGGATTAATAGGTACAAGTCGGGCGTGCTGCAGAGGCTAATCATGATGTATTGTTCCTCATTAGAAATTGTAGTTATAAAAGACTCTTCTAAAAAATGTCATAAATGTTTTTAATGATAATGTAAAATATTGTCTTAGAGCTGTTTTTATTGCAGAGATATCTACACGCAATTCATTTTTAAAAAGAACATAGATTTCTTTAACCCATATTAATGAACATGAGGAGACAAATTCATAAATATTCATATTGACCTATGTTACATAATTTTTATCAGAAATGTAGAGCTTTTACGATGCAAGCCTGTCGACTTAATAAAATTTCGTCACCAAACGCAGTAAACCGAGGAGATTCAGGTTATACAGCAATAATAAGACCCCTAATGCTCTAGGCCTGCCCTGAGTGAATCAATGCAGCAAAAACCAATATCCATAAAATACAGATCATACAGAATAAATTCCCACGTACAACCAATGCACCCTGGTTCTTCACAAACTAACAACTCCGTAAAGGAATTGAAATAAAACCTATTATTCACCACATCACTAAGTTATCCCATAATTTGTTTAACAATACGTTTACACACGACACAATACAATACACATGACTATCGCAATACTATCTAGGCGGAGCACCCAAAAACACCACCAGAATAAAAAATAGATTTCTCAAACATGTTTTCACATACAATTTGCAAATTTTAATGGTTCTTTGTGAGGTGCTCAGTGGGTTTCCTCTCCCTAAAAAATAGATGTAAAGAAGTAATAGTTTAGTTTTTTAAATAGATAGTAAGTATAAAAACCATGTGAACAAGTTTGCACTATTAAACTGAACCATGTATCCTTTTCAGAATAATAAATTTAAAGAAACAAATATATCCAGGCTGAAAGGACATTCTCTTCTGATGCGTTCGTCCTGCGGAGCGGAGCGGAGTACGATACCAAACGGGATAATGGCGCCTGAAAACTCACTGTACCCACTGCAGGGATACAATAGATGGACCATTTTCTAGACAATACTTTAAATTAGGGCTGTAAAGGTTGCGAGCAAGGTAACTGGCCTTCTAGAACTCGCATCCAGAGAACCTGGCGCGATGTTTGAAAGTAAAGGTGTAAATATTTACTTCACTGCATTCTTGGCCCATCAAAGTCTTTTCAGAGTTATTGCCCCCAATTTAGCTACATTAACTTCCATTTCCTCTACTAAAGCAAATAAAATATCCTTAAAACTGAAATATTTGAAACTATTGGTTGCGAGTTAAATTAAATATTGTGAATCGAAAATTTCTGATTCTTGCCTTTACATAAGAGTACAATAGTTGGACTAACTTCCATTGTTCAAGTTAGGAACAAATAATCATTTATCTGTTAAAAATTGTGCCCGCCCTTAAGAGTGATGGTATTAATCCGAGATTTTTCAGGAGGAGATAAACCACATAGAGACTTGTGAAAGTCACATTATTGCTATATACCACAAATAAAACGTAAAAGAAACCGAAAACTGATAAAGAATATGCCATTCAAACATATTCCTGCCCCTTGGCAAAATGATTTTACATGGAAAAGTTTTAAAAGAAAATAAACATGTTATAAAATGATAAGTGATTAAATATATAAACATTTTACAAACCTCAGCTGATTGATAGGAAACATCCGGCAAACATATTTTTGTATAAAGGAACCGTAGTGATAATTCTATAGTGCTTCGCGAATACCGTCCCCACCAGTTTGCGTTTGTATACCCTTTTCAGAATTTCGAGGGGCAGCGAGAGTGAAGTAAGGTTTCGGTGGTATAATGGTTAGCGTACCGGGATGTTATACCAAAGTTTGCGGGTTCAATTCCGATCGAATCTGTGGAATTTAAGGGCGCGAAAATATCTCGGTCGTTTTCCTTGGGAAGGGAAGTAAAGCCGTCTGTCCCATATTGTAGATTTACTACATGTCAACCACCTTCAAACCTGAAAGATACCCCTGAGCTTATTACAAAATCGCCTATTTCGTCGCCGCAGTGATATCTTCTTTCTCCGTTAGATGGTGAAAGGAGGCGTGGCGAAATGTGCGTGGTCAGACGAAAGAGCGGACCTGACGGCCTGACTCTCGCCATGTAAAATGAATCATAATAGACTGAATTGAAGTCAATGGACGTGGCGCGTGCACGCAGGAGCGCAGGGCTTCCCAAGCGGGCAATTAGCGCCTGCCCATGCAGTTTTACATGCCTGCTTGAAATGAAAATGACACGCGGAGTTTCACACCTGCATCCTCCAAACACTTCTTGCAAACATACCACTGCATACACGTCAAAACATTCAGTTTAAGTTCAGTGCATATCCTGGGCAATTCTAATACGTGGCAATAAAACAATGTTTTCGCTGAAATACATGAAAACGGAAATACATAAAATTTATGGCTTCGTTGTTCAAGAAAAACTAAACATATAGTTTTTCTTTCAAATCAATTTATTTTTACAATCAATATATGTTTCACTACAACAATATACATGTTCAAACTGAAAAAAGGAGTACTTTTATGTAATTACATTAACCGAAAACGAAACACTTGAATATAATATTCATTACCTCAATATTATTTGAATTGGAATTGATGAATTGTGATTTGACTGGGTATGATGTGACGTTTTGTTCAGAAAGCAATCTTATAAACATATTTTATTCCTTTCCCTTGCATTTCTGTAATCAAATTTTTTTTATCGGAATTTCTTAAACGCCCCTCCATTGCTTAGCTCAATCGCTTAGCGACTCTTGCTGCTCGAGGCCTGTAGTGATGTTTGCACGCTGTGCCGTCATTGCCACCTGCCCCTGCTGGGAAGCGTGGAGTGCGCAGCCTCGCCCCCGGGCGGGCAGCGCCGCGCGCGGTGTTTGCGCCCCCGCTTAGGAGGCGGCCAGCGGCTGTGTGCTCCGGCACACGCGGAATCATTCGCGCGGCGGCGCTAATTCCTGCCGTTCGCACGTTCACGGAGCGTCGTTCAGAAGGATGCGGATCTTGTGAAGTATTGATATTATTCATTCTCAACAGTGGTGAGCGCTATTCAAGCAAACTCGTTTTATTGTTGATGGATGTTTGTCGAAGCACAACGTGTGTATGTTCAAAATTTACTTTCAGCCGAGTACATTCTACGATATAGCAGTTCACGAGGTTTGAGTCAGACGACAAAGATGTAAACACTTAGCTGATAATTGACAAAGAAAAACAGTTACTGCGTAGTAATGAAATGTCACTGAACTCTGTTGTAGTAGTCTGTCTCACTACGTATGAAACACAATCCTTTATTTAAATAAAAAACGTGCTATAGACACAATTCTCATTGAAAAATCATATCAATTATGTACAGCAAACAGTGAACCCCAAAAACTTTCCCCCTGAATAAAAATAAGAGCAACGTTAATTAGGACAAATGCGGGAACTATCACATTATACTGTGGGACTAGATCTAATATAATTATCCATGAGAATATTTATGTATTATTTTATTTTATAGGCGCGTTGTATTTAATGAAATATATTTCTTATTATTTTGGATCACATTGATTT